ACCGGAGTGTGAAAAGCCACCGCAATCGAACCCAACCAGCAACGACCTAGAGTCATCTCTCCTCCAAATCTTCACCGATCACCACCACACCTCCCTTCGCCTCCGGGAAACCACGGGTGAGTTGCAATTTTTCTCCCTCTCTGAATTTGGATTTCAGAGTTTTAAAATTTTAGGTTTTTAGTGATTGAGACAGAGAAAGCGAAGAAAGAAGCGGCGAGATTGGCGGATTTGTTGGTGGATAAAGTGAATGGAGGAGTGCAAGAATCGTTTGTTAATGAGAAGAGAATTGAGATGGAGATTAGAGGTTTAGCAGCAAGTATTGTGAGGTTTATGAAGCAGAGTGATCAGTGGCTTACTGCTACTCATTCCATTAATACTGCTATTAAGGTCTGTCTTTCTCTTTATTATTCTTATTTTTTTTAACTATTGGGATTTTAAATTTATGATTGAATTGTGGATTAAAGAATTCAAGTATGATCTTGCAATCAAGGAAGGGGAAGAACCATTTCCATGCTAAGTTTTTCGCTGCAAATGTGCTCATCTGGGGCTGTGTGTGGCCTCCATGCGCAGTGAACCTCGCAGATACATGTGGGTTCGTTTACTTCTTCGATGATTGCAGTCGCGACTGCATTTAGCATTGCTCATGTGGGAAAAAAAAAAAGGGGGGGGGGGGGGTTATTATGGATTGATTTTGACTGTCGCCCCACATGCGGGTTAGGAATCCTGCTTGTGGGCCTCACCTCGATGCTTAGACGGGTCAATTTTGTGTGTTCATGGACAACTATATGTACTAAGTAAGAAGGAATGATTTGGTTAAGGAATATTGATGGAGTGAGTAGTACTAATTCTTTTGTTGCTGTTTTAAGTTTCAACTCAAAGTGTTTTCTTTTTTCTTTTTCATGCTGTGCTCTAGGAGATTGGGGACTTTGAGAACTGGATGAAGACAATGGAGTATGACTGTAAAAGCATAACCACTGCGATACACAACATTCACAAAGAATGAGTTGAGAAGTATGTTTTTTATTTCACTGAATGGAGAAATTTCTGCCTCGAGACAGATCAGTTACTACGAATTTGTGTTTACTGCAAACTTCATCATGTTTGCTTTAATAGTTCTTTATTGTATTCATGTACTATTGTCGTTTTTTTAATAAAACAATTCTTTGCAATTCTACGTGCCCAATTGATGTGTAGATTTTCTGCTTATGCGTGTGCATGTGTTTGTCATTAGCTGGAGTGCAAAGTCAGATCCTTTGAATCCAAATTAATGGAGAACTCCTCAGAATGCTTTCTATAATGATGCCAATGTCCTATGGAAATCTTAAGCTATGTTTCTCATCTGACATCCAATCAATGTGCCACTGTTTCTACCATATCTTTTTATCATTTTTCTTCCAGGTTGTTTATATAAATTCATTACAGAAATGACTTGTGGAGGAACACAGAAGCAAGACAAATGAAGAAAAGCTCATTTTCAAAAACTGAAAGGTGGAGTCTTTCGCAATGGCTGAACCATGGATCATTTATGAAGTGTGAATGATTTGTGAAGTGAATGATTCATTATTTACAAGTGAATGGCGGACTGTTTGCAAGTTTGAATGATAGGTCTTTTGTGAATGGGTTGCCATGGCCCCCATCTTTGCAAAAAAGTAGTTTAATTCAGTCTTCTAACTGAATAAAGTAGTTTGCAAGAAAACAACCGAAGGTTCATCTACATAAAGTTTGATTTAGAAGTCATCAATGCAGCTGTCCAGGATATTCACCAGAATGATTCTATGTATTAATAATTCTTCACAATAATTTCTATGTACTAATTAATATGTTCTGTATTAACCTGGATTCAGTTTCATATCATACTGAAATTCAACATATTGATACCTTGAGGAAGCTTTTAGTCTGTTTCTTATCTGACATGCACACATTGTGGGAAATGGTTTCCAGCCCAAACCCTTGGCTGAGAAGAAGGCTTGTCTAGTTTGAACAAGCTGGTTAAGTTAATTCAAAATGTTCTATCAAACCATCTATTGCCTTCATATATAATATAACCAAACAAGAAAAGATCTTTTTAATAATCATACAATTCCCTATTGGAGGGATTCTTTTTGGATATACAGAAGAGGTTTCGATCTTGAGATCTCTTAGAAGAGAAGGGATACGGGCGCCAGCTGAGCAACAGTTCATCGTCGGCGCTCTCATATAATGGTAGATGAACACGGCATGTTGCAGCCCTCAATTATACAAAGAAACTCGCACCTACCATGCAATAGATGTAGCGTCCATGGTGGTAGACTATGAATGTAAGAGGCACGTTATATATTAAAAAACCAAATCAAATATGGCAACGTGCAGGACACTTGCTTTGTAAATGCAATAAACCTGAAATGTTAATATGTGGTCAAACATTCCTGTTGGAAGAAGGAAGCTCCAGAATGTCAGCTTCTTATTTGATAGAGTGGAACATCTGGTAATCTCTGGACCATGGAAGCGTACAATTGATGAATGTAAATGCACCAGTTGCTACTAACTAAAATATTATAATATACAGATAGAGCAAACAGAAGTGATATTGTCATCGTTTCTGCCTATAAATAGACATGCTTCTTCGTTCAAGTACTCACTGCAATTTTATATAAACTTTCTGAGCTTAATAACTATGGCTGCTCTACAATCTTTCTTGTATTTTGCAACATTAGTGGCTATTTTGATCCCTGTAAGTGCACAGTTGACACCTGACTTCTACGACAAAGTGTGCCCTCCAGCCCTGCCGATCATTAGAAAAATTACTAAGCAGGCAATCCGGCGCGAGCCACGTATGGGAGCTTCGCTGCTTCGAATGCATTTTCATGACTGCTTTGTCAATGTAAGTTTAGTTCAAGCTTTAACTTCTTCACTTTTCTATTGCTCAATATAGCAGACGTAGATGTTTAATGTTGCTTTGGCTTCAGGGTTGTGATGGATCAGTGCTTCTGGATGACACAGCCAACTTCACTGGAGAGAAGACAGCCCTTCCCAATTTGAATTCACTCAGGGGCTTTGAAGTGGTTGACCAAATTAAATCAGCTATTAACCGAGCTTGCTCTGCCAATGTGGTGTCATGTGCTGATATTTTAGCTGTCGCAGCTCGCGACTCTGTGAAACTTGTGAGCAGGCATTGATATTCTTATAGCATAAATCCAACTGTTTTTTATTTATTTTCCTCTTCTAAGAAGTTTCCTTTCATTATGATCTTATTTGTGTGCAAGAATCATATCATTAATGAATCAAGCTTGTTTTTGTGTTGCAGCTGGGAGGTCCTGCGTACGAGGTGTTACTGGGCAGAAGAGATTCAAGAACTGCAAGCAAAAACGACGCAAACACCAATCTTCCTCCCCCATTTTTTAACTTCTCACAACTTCTCTCTAACTTCCAATCTCATGGGCTAAACCTGACGGACCTAGTTGTCCTCTCAGCAGGGCACACCATTGGACTTGCTCGGTGCACCACTTTCCGCGACAGGATTTATAACGACACCAATATAAACTCCAAATTTGCTGCTTCCTTGAAAAATAGCTGCCCAAGAACTGGAGGGGACAATAACACGAACCCTCTTGATTCAACCACAACAAGATTTGATGCACAATATTTCAGGGATTTGATTGCCAAAAAAGGTCTCCTACATTCTGACCAAGAGCTGTTTAAGGGTGATGGTAGTGGCAGCGATCCGCTAGTGCAGTATTATGGTTACATTAATCCAGACAGATTTCTGACAGACTTCTCTGCTTCCATGATCAAGATGGGAAATATGAAGCCCCTCACTGGAATTAATGGAGAGATCAGAATGAATTGCAGAAAAGTTAATAACTAGCTTGATATCGAATGTGCGTTGCCTTGTTTCATTGAATGGGCAAGTTGAAATTGTCTGTCATTGTGTTAATTTCAATCTTATCGTTCGTTTGTTTGCTGACATAATGTCATTTAATATGTAAAATTGTTTCCGGATTCAAGAAATATTTGTCAAAATTAAAGAGCTTTATACCTTCGTCTTCATTAACGCAGAAGACAGTTGAAGACATTAGAAAAGATGACTAGTAGCTTAATTTACGAGAAAAGCCAAAAATGAAATAATTTTAATTATGTTCAAACAACTCATAAAGGTACAGGCAAATGAGGCCCAATTGGAGCTGTGTAGGAGGCTTTGATGTAGGGGATAGGGCCCCCTAGCTCATCGGCAGGATATTTGACAAAATATTTGTACGAGCTTGGAATGAAACCACTCCACTCCCTGTTGAATTCGGGATTTCATAGCTTGAAAGGTTATTTCCCAAGTTAAGTTCATTGAGAGATTTCTTGAGGAATGCACTCAGAGAATTCGGTATCTATCCCGAAGATAAAGAATTGATGGATTCTCAAGTTTCCAATTCTACAAGTTTCGAGGAATGTAACCGAGAGTTGAGAAATAGAGTACTATTTTTATCTTCTAAAAAATTGGAGCTAGAAAAAAACTTGGAACTTTCATATTTTTCATAACGTAGAAAATGAATTTTCAATATAAACTCTTATACTTTTCAATTTTGATTTTTGATGTTGTTTACTAGTCACACCACCAACTGCCAAACCTCATGCGTCCTTCAATGGTCTTGTGAATTTGCATAAAAAGAAACATTCCTCAGCCTCTCCTATAATTAGTCAAGAGTATTCTCCAAGCCGGCAACCCGTAGACGGATGGCAAATGGGGCTTTAGTTATGTCCCATGTTAAAGCACCCAATTTACTGACAGGAATCGAAACACCTTGGTTTTTCCTATGGCAATTTCCTCCACAGAGAAAACAATGGAGTTCTTTAGCTCTTCACTTCATGAAAAAAATGCTAAATTTCCTGGAGAAAATTATTGGGGCCACAGCTGGCATAAGTGCCGGAAACATCCAGTGTGAAGGCAGGAAAAAAAAAAGACACCCCCACACGAGTGAGGAGAGGGAGTAAATGGAGTTCATTTCAATCAATCCAGGAAATGAAATGAGATTCAAAGAATCGGACAACAACAGCATAATATCCCATGATATCTTGACATCCTATAGGAATGACCTTACATTCCATTAAGTTCTATATCACCACAAAATCCCATGTTAAACAAAGAACCCTTACAAATTGCATCAAAACCAGGGTGCTTCCCTTTCTGGAGAACCCTATGAATAAATAATTAGGAATTGACCCCACAGCATGGATGGAATGAATAATGAAATCATAATAGAAACCTTCTCTAAGTGACTGGATGTCAGTCTATAAACAATCTAGCACACAGGCACACCATGGAAAAGTCAGCTAGTCAGCAGCCAGTTTGCCTCAAAATGTGGAGCTATTTTCACTTGCAGAAAGCGAGGGACCTTCTGACTTTACAATATTTGATCCTTTGTTGCTGATATCAAGCCCCTGCAACTGTCTGATAGGGTCATTCTGTATATAGTCTGAGAGACTCTGAGAATCAACCTGATGTATATGACGGGTGGACATACTAGATGAAGAATGAGTAAATGAAGGTAATTGCATGTTTGGGTGACCAGCAGTTCCTGGTTGCAAAGGAAGTGGGAAAAAGTTGGACGGGGTGAAGGGCATTTGGTGCATTCCCAAGTTGTATGAATCGGAAGGGCTTAACATTTCCCCAGTGGCAATCTTGAGCCTCTCTACTTCCTTCTTTAGTGCTTCATTCAGAGCTACAGAATAATAAAAAACAAAATAAGATCTACCACTATTTCAACCAAATATGATGTCCTAACATTAAATAACAAATTGAAAAGAAGAAATGACCAAAGAAAAGCAAACAGTATGTATCAGGTAGCACACGTGATATAAGCAGAAAGCAGGCATCCCACTTACCATCACGCAATTGGGCCTGTTGCTCCATAGCTTGTAACCGAAGCTTAAGCTCAGTGTTTTCTGTGCTTAGACCAGTAGTGTCCCTCTATATGAGAAAGAAGAGAAACAGAATCATCATCCTGACCAAAATCCAAAAGTAGCAGAGCACTAAAATTGGACCAAGCACTGTCGCAGACAATGAAGTGACGTGATAAGAAGAAACTGATAGAAAAAAGAAATGGTGTTCTTAAGTAGAAGTACTGAAAATTCAATGATAATGCAAGAGATGTGGACAAAGTAAATCTTTACTTGCAATCTTTTTGCATCTTCAAGCTTGCCTTGTGAAAGAGCTTTCTTGGAGAGGAAGGTTTTGTGATCCGATTATTAGCTAAACAAAGTTTCATGAGAATCACCATCCAATAACAAAATCATTTACTATATCATAAACAAAATATTTTTGTTTGTCTAGGCATTAACATGATCATCCATCCAATGAACATGGATTGTATTAACGAGAGCCATCCTTGCAGTAGACAGGTGAGGTATAGATAGGTTATACAAATATAACCAAGGTAGAAAAAATCCATGCTGAAATTTCAACTTACAAGTACAAACCTGAAATAGAGATAGTTGTGCAGAAAGAGTGGTTGCTTCTGTTTGGAGGGTTTGAACTTTGCGCTCAAGTTCTAGTATGTATCGGGCCTTCCTCTCTTTAGAGCGAGCAGCAGACTGCCTATTTGCAAGTATCCTGTGAACCAACGACTATGCTGTCAGCATAAGCAAAAGAACAGCCAAATTTTTTGAAGAAAAATAAATCCAGAGACGAGTATGCATGTCTTTGCTTGTCTTCGTTTATACATTCAAAATCATCATTAAAAGAAAACTATGAAAAGTATGTTTGAGGTGGCTGTACTTTTAAACATTTAAATGCCCTTTAAAATTCCCAATGTTAAATGGTAGATCCAATCACCTAAAACAGAACACTCACTAACATTTCCTAAATCATGTATTCCAACATAACTTAAATCCCAGGTATGATAAAGTGGTTGGTGAATGGCAAGCCAGTATAAGATGAAGAAAACAACTAACGCTCACAAGCCAATCAAAACCAATATCAGACGGTAACCTGGTTTCTTAAATTCTTCGTAGGGTTCAATTATTTACAAGAGTACCCATTTGCCACCAATACTACAATTCATCACTATTCAATATCAGACAGTAGCAAAAAACTCTTAAATCCCACGATCCAACAATTCAACAGGCAGGTCAAAACATTGACAATTTAACAGTAATGTGACAGATTGTAACAAAGTTTGACACATCAAAACCAAGATTCTCAACCCAAAAACAAATTTTTAAATTCTGCAAGCATCACACTTTCCCCATCTTCCACACCCAAATTCAACAACAATTAAACCATAAAACGAAAAACATACACTATCTCAAATGGAAAACAAATGCACACCCTTTTCCTATAAAAGTCAAAACGTTAAGCAAAACCCATAATCAGAAAACAAAAAAGTTCGCACCTTTTAGCTCTTTTAGGATCAATAGACCAAAGCTCGGCTAACTTATCAGGCGGCATTGCTTTCTTAGCCTCCATCACCTCTCCCCCACCAAAGACACTCCCATCCACCGAATAACTATGCCTATGCTTAGGCCTAGAAGTACCGGGACCCGCACTCGAAACCCCACCTTTCTCTCCATTTAAGGTATTATCATTGTCATTATGATTTCCCACTCCAGTTCCATTCCCATTATTGCCTCCAGTTAGCTTATCAACATCGATGTAGGTAGAGAACAAATCATCCTCTGATCCGATCTCTTCTAAGCTTCCTGTTGAAGACCCACCATTACCATTACCATTACCGCCATTGATTTGATCTGAGGGATGGAGATCCGTCATCATCAATGTCATGTCTTCTGGTAATCTAAAACTCATCTCTGAATGTGCCCTCCGATGGTGGGCTCCACCTCGAATGTTGTTGAACATTGAAGAAGAAGAAGAAGAAGATGAAGGTGATACAGTGGGGTTAGGGTTGGGGTTGTTGGGTTTTTGTGGATCTGAATTTTGTGGTGGTTTAGATAGTTGATCTCGAGTTTCCATTGAAGAAGAAATGGTTGAGAAGCGAAAAAGGAGAAAAACAAAGAAAAAGACAAGGTTTTGATTTTTGATTTTTGATTTTTGATTTTTCTTTGGTGGCAGTGTGTAATAATTAATTATTAGTGTGAGGTGTAGTGCCGTGTCGTCTGTCGAGTTTCCATTTTTGTGCTCTGAGATTTTAATGATTTTGGTGATGTTAACTAACAAGGACGGATTAAATAAGGTTTCATCTGCCTTTTGTCTTGCAAGGGCGGTTATGATTACTTTCTTTTTTAATATATTAAAATAATATCCTTTATTTTTAAATTTCATTTTTTATATTAATACGTTAAAATAATTTAAAAATATAAAAAAATTATCTTTTTCAAAAATATTTTTAAAACATAAAAATAAACAATCACTTGATATTAATATTTGTTTATTAACATTGGACAATGTTTTCAGAAGAAAAAAAAAATTCAGTTAAAAATATATAATTTTTTTTAAAAAATATTTTTATATTCATATATTAAAATTATTTAAAAAATATATAAAAAAAATTAATATTTTTTATAAAAAATTAGTTTGGAAATCAACTCCAATGGCTATATGATTAATTAGTTACTCATTTTTGAATAAATAAAAAATTTCTGTTACTAGTTGATATGGTATGGCAGCGGAATATTTATAATTATTAAGTTTGGTCGTACTTAATGAATTTAATTTGAATCCAAAACATGAGATAGAAGGAAATTTTAGTTAAATTATATAAGAAATTTATTTGACAAAGCTTGATTACCATGTTAAACATATTCCAAACCCAATGGGATTAATATCTTAAAAAAAGGTTATTATTTTAATAAAAATAATTAACTTGATGCTGATAATTTAGGTTCTTTTTAGGTTAGTTTTTGAATTGGATCTAACAATTATTAGCATCTTGCGTTGTAAATTTTATAATAAACTAACATATTAATTATCAATTATCATGTCAATAATTTTTCTTGATTAATCTAGGAGTTTTTATATAAAGAGATCCAACTGTTTTTAATCAAGATACTCATGAATTTGTTAATAAAACATGGGGAAGTAGTTTGATGAGTTAGTTTAGCAAAATGCACAATAATGTGCGGAATAGATGTTTAATATGAAGATTAATTTAGTGAATTCCTTGAGATTTAATGAAGTAAAAAGGTAAGAATTTCATAAAAAAACATGAGAGAGAGAGAGAGTAAACATGAGAGAGAGAGAGTAAATTTAGTTTAAGAATTTTTAGCTTTTGTATGAATGAATTACTTTTATTATTATTATTATTATTATTATTATTATTATTATGATTGATGGTGTATTAAAAACCTTTTTTTCATTAACAAAACCTATTGGCAACAAAAACATCCTCTCCCTCTCTCTCAATATATATATTTCTCATGATTTCTTCCTTTCATTTTTTTATTATTATTATGATGTCTTTAATTTGGAAAGAGAAATATAAAATCTAAGTTAAACAAGTTAAATATGAAAGAGAAATAATAATAAAACTTATGAAAAACACAAACATGGAAAGAGAAGGAAAGAGAAAGGATAAGAATAAAATTTCACCTAAAATTTTTTAACAACTTAAAAGAATGATTATATTTGTTTCCTTCTAAAAACTCCCATGAAAAAACTATGGTTTACTTTTAAAACTATAATATTTTTTTAAAAAATCAAATTTATGTTAGTTTTTATTAAAAAAAAAAACAATTTTAGTTGTGGTTTTAAAGAACTAGATTTTAAAAAATAAGTTATTGCATTAGTACTGTTGTGAAATAAATTTTTTCATACAAAGTAAATGAAAAATATGTCTTTATAAATTAAAAGTAAGTCATTTTAGCTTCTATAAAATTAAGAATTGAAATGCAATTATGTATAAGATTCAATACAAAAAGTAAAACCCATTTGGCTAACCGAATATTTTTTTTATTGTTGTGCAAAAAACAAAAACCACCACACTACTAAATAATCTCTTAACTTTATTAAGATCAAAGTTTTAAGTGTATTGGGTTTTTAAAATCATTATTTTGAACAGGTTACCAAACTTTTTTCCCCAACTTAACTACAATAAATGACAACTGAAAAATACTACGTTGATTTTATATGTTGTGTAATGGCTTTAGTGTCATCATTGATGATTTCAAAAACATTATATTGGATGATTAAAATTGTAAAGTTAGCCTAGTGTTCCTCCAATTAGCCCATAATTCTTAATTATAAGAGTAGCCAAAGCCTCACAAATTATAATTACAAATCATAATTACAAGCTTTAAAAAGATTGATTTCATTGTTATTTTTGGAGTTTACAACAAAACCAAGCAATAAGGCCTATAACCCTTTCTTGAAGAGGCAAGAACAAGATTGAATAATATTGATAGATCTTGATTGAAGCCTAGGGCATAAATGAGTCATAACATGTTAATTAAAAGGACTAAAACTTTCTAAACCAAATGCAAAGTTCCATTCATCAACCTATTATAAGTAATTTGATGAAGACTAATATTTAATATGTAATCACATTTCAAAGATCACATCATATTTTTTATTGAATTTTCATAGGGATGGAAGAAATTTACCCTGTATTATTTCAATTTTGTTGTGATAATGGAAACATGTTGATGAAGAAAGCTAACATTATCATTTGATTAGTCATAGAATATTTAGTAGTTAATCGATCCTCATATGACTATGAACATTCTTCTAAGAAGAAATGTCATACATAAAGATATAAAATAGATATAAATGCTTATTTGATTATGATCTAATTCTTAATTATTGAAGCATGTTTGATGTTGTAGTTTGTGGCTCATAAATCGATGTTAGAGTGGAGTGGAATGACAGAGCATCCCATAAATTCTTAGATATTAGATTAGATATATTTTTACCATATGACACCCAATAAAGATTGGTTAGATAACTACAAGTTAGTTAATTCTGGTTTATTTTTTTATGAGTAATGATGATCCATACAAAGTTGTTCGAATAAGAAATATTAAAATTAAAATGTTTGATGATGTTGTTAGAACTTTGTATGTGTGTTAGACATATACTAGATTTGCAGAATAATTTGATTTCATTAAGAACTTTATATCATAATGGGTTCAATTTCAAGTAGTCTGAAAGTGGAGTACTGAAGATTAGTAAATGTAATATGATAATGAAGAAGTGATAGAGATTATTAAAAAATATTTATAGATTGTTAGGTACCATAATTATAGGTGGAGTTGTAGTTATAGAATCTAATTTAGATAATAATGTCTTGTGGCACATGCAATTAAACTATATGGGTGAGCGTGAGATGATAGAGCTTCATAGAAAAAAAATATTGAAAGGTGTCAAAACATGCAAACTTGATTTCTACAAGTATTATGTTCTAGAAAAATATAATAAGGTGCAATTCAAGACAACCACGCATAAGAAATGGGTTTTTTTTTTTTACTATGTTCATGTAGATTTTTTAGGTTTAGTAATTAAAAGTACTATTACATAAATGATATATATATATATATATATATATATATATATATATATTAAAATTAGATACATGTATTTTTTACTATGTACTTCATGCAACACAAGTCAAAAACATTTGTCAAGTTCAAGGTATGGGAATTAGAAGTAGAAATTCAGTTAGAGAGGAAGATCAAATTCCTCAAGTTAGACAATGGTATTGAATACACAAATTCAAAGTTAATAGAATTATACGAATAACATGGGATTAAGAAACACTCTATAATATGTATAACACCACAACAAAATAATGTAGTGAAAATGATGAACAAAACAATAACTAGAAAAACAAGGTGTCTTAGGTTGAATGCAGGGCTTGCTAAGAACTTCTGGGCATAAATAGTGAATATGACATGTTTCTTAATTAGCAAATCATCTAAGACAATTTTAGATAAGAAAGTAGTACAAAAAATATAGACAAATAGTCTTTTAGACTACTCTAATTTGAGAGTGTTTGAATGTCTTTGCATGTTTTTAGTGATAAAAAGGTTAAAGTTTGATGTGATGTCTAAATAATATGTCTCTTTAGGGTATCAGAAAAGGGTAAAAGGTTCCAGGATCCAAGATCCAAAGGCAAACAAGTTAGTAATTAGTAAGGATGTAATTTTTAATTTAAAAAAGTCATGTTGTAGTGTACTGAGAAAGAAAAGAAACAAGTATTAGAAAATTACAGCAATAATAACCATAAGGTGTAGAAGGAGCTAAATACTCATATTAAAGAAGAAACCATTGATAATTCATAGAGTTCTAGTTTAGAAGAACAACATGTCAATATAGCTTTAGGTAGGTCCATACGAACTATCAGGTTACCCATTAGGTATGGTTTTAAAGGTTTAGTCTCTTATACACTTATTATTAGTAACAGGAATCCTACTACTTTTCAGAAGGCATTACACAACCAATATAAAAGTAAATGAATGAGTGCTATAGAAGAAGAATTGAAGTCTATGTATAAGAACCATACATGAAAGTTGGCTGAACTTTTATAGAGGAAGATGGTTATAAGATGCAAACAAATATATAAGAAAAAACAAGCAATATTAGAAAATAAGAGTTTGAAGTTCAAGGCTCGTCTAGTAGTAAAGAGTTACTCACAAAAGAAAATGGTTGACTATAATGAGATATTTTTTCATGTAGTTAGACATACTTTCATTAGGGTAATTAAACTTGATAACATATTTTGATATGTAGTTAAAGTATATAAATGTCAAGAAAACTATTTTTTATGGTGATTTAAAGGAACAAATTTACATGGTATAGCTAGAAGAGCTTAGTCAATCTGAACAAATCACTGTTTAGAGTGAAATAGTATCTAAGACAGTGGTATAAGTGATTTAACTCCTACATGGTTAATATTGGCTACAAAAGTTGTTAGTATAACTATTGTTTTTATGTAAAGAGTCTTGATAATGATTCTTTTAATTTTTTTTTATTGTTTTATATGGATGATGTATTGATTATTACAAAGAATACAAGTGAGGCCAATAAGTTGAAGACTTTGTTGAGTAATGAATTTGACATGAAGGATTTAAGTACTGTAAAGAGCATGAAGGTTCAACATGGATAATGCAAAACCAATAAGTATATTTTTAGCAAATCATTTCAGATTATTTATTATATAGTGCCCAAAGATAGATGATGAAGTGAAAAACATGTTAGAAATACCTTATTGTAGTATACTGGGGTGTTGAATGTATAGTATAGTCCGTGCAAGACCATATTTGGCACACATAGTCAATATGATGAGCAAGTTTTTATCAAATTCAGGATGACATCATTTAGATGCAGTCAAGTGGATCTTCAAATATTTAAAGGGTATTACAAATTATCATGTTTAATATACAATAATGTAATCCTTTAGTTGTGGGATATGTACATGCAGGGATTTAGGCGAGAAAAGATATATTACAAGTTATGTAATTACTTTGATAGAAGGGCTTATTTGTTGGAAGTCTATGATTTAGTCTCTACTTATACTACTAAGTCAGAATACATGGTCGAGGCTGTCAAGAAAGCCTTGTAGCTTACAGGTTTGATTAAAAAGTTGGGTATTCAACAATATGGAATTCAGTTCTGTTGAGACAATTAGAGTATCATTTACTTGACAAAGAACTAAGTGAATTATATAAGGATCAAGCACATAGATATATTAACAAATCTTATTACCATAGATAAGTTCAAACATTTCTTGAACTTGATTAATATATTTTTTTAGATACGAGATAGAAGATATCCTAACCTATTATTTCCTTATCTATTTCTCATAAGAGGCAAAAATATTCATCAAGATGAAAATTGTTGTGTTTTGTAGCTCATATTAGAATTTATTTTCTGTTTTCTTACCATGGACAATTAATATACATGGGGTTTGGGGGCAACACCCTTGCTATATAATAATGGGATATTGTAGAAAAATTATCAATATTCATTTAGCGGGTAGAATATCTTAGACGGTTTAAAGTATATTATAAATATATATGATGTAAGTTTATTTTAATATAATGAAAATAAAAACCTTTTCGCTCTTGTAGATATAAGCATATTGCCAAACTTTCTAGTTTATTTTTTATTGCAACATTCTTTAATAATTACTGCAAATTTGTCATAACAATTGATTAGCTAAAAGAGAGGTTCCTAATCAAAACCAGCTTGATTTTGAAAGGATGCGAAGCTAGAGCAGATTTGATAAGGCCCAAAAATCAATCCTCAAGACAGGGAATAATTTTTCAACATGATGGAACCACACAATGTCCTCTATTTAAACTTAAAGCATGCACAACCACACACTCGACTCAAAATTATCTAGAATGTCTTTTCTGTTTCTCTTTTTGGAATATCTCTGCACATGTAATTCAATGACCACTAATTAGGTAAGACAGGCTCTATATTCCTCTGCTATCTTTCTTCTCGCAAAGTATTTGAATGTGGCTAGAGAGGACCATTTCTGATCAATTTGGTGTATTATTGCTTTCTATTGTCCTAGTTTAATTAAGATAATTATAATTCCAAACATTACTACCCTTTCTCTATCTTTCTGACCAAGTATATGCTTTTCTTGAGGCCGCCGCGACCGATCAAAGGAGGCAAGCTAGCCATGGAGACTTCAGTAGTATACCATACACACCGCCTATTCCTGGATACGGATTCAAGAATGTCACCTTCTAACCAAGGAGACAGGAACTCTAGCGATTACATCCTCGGAACTGGTACAAATTTTGATGGCAAAGTGGTGATGGTTTTGGTAGCTTTGCTATTTGCATTAGTATGTGCGTTTGGGATAAATTCCATAGCACGTTGTGCCACAAGAAACGGGTATAGAATTGGCTTTGAGACTCCACAACAGGCTGCTTCACGCCTAGCTGCGGCTACTAGTACACAACTGAAGAAGAGTGCGTTGGGGCAGATTCCGGTGGTGCCATATAAATCAGGACTACATATTCAGGTCAGTACTGATTGTCCTATTTGTCTTGGAGAATTTTCGGAAGGCGAAAAGGTAAGAGTTCTACCACAATGTAGCCATGGTTTCCATGTTAAGTGTATAGACAAATGGTTATTGCTGCACTCATCATGCCCCTTATGCCGACAAGCATTAGTACTGCCCTAGTAGAGGCGAATAAGAGAGTCCGGGCGCCAGAAAATGGGCCTGTGGATAACTTAAGGCTCTAAAGAGACGATCAAACTCAATAATGGAGCTGTGAGCTGGTTGTTGGCACCAAAGTTTCTATGAGGAGGTCAAGTCTTGGTTCTATGGAATCATTATAGTAGGATGTAGGACAAACATTGATAGATATATATTTAGGATGTGTAAGGGTCAGCTTTTGTTACAACTGTTACTATACTTGAAAAAAGTGTTTGGTACCATATGTGTTAAAAAAGTGTTTTTATATTTCAACATATTCAAAAGTTTTCCAGTTTTCGGAATGTTTCATATACTTTTTTTTTTTATTTATCGTAAAAGCTTTCTGATTTGTTTGCCAAAATTCTGAACTCTAAATAGATCAAGCCATCAAGGTATAGGTAAGACTCATGGTTAGAGCGGGGGCCGTGCACATTTTTTGCTCTTGACAACAATATGATAATTCATGCAGGTTCTGCAATGATTTGATGAGCCCAAACTTTTGATCAAATGAACAAACAAATTAAATCTGAACTAACCAGTTTTTTTTCATTACCAAGTTCTTTGCTGGCCATGGATTTTGGACATGTATCCTTTACTGTGGCCTTAAATATAAATCAAATAGCTAGATGGTGCTCAAATTTAGTAAGGAAATTCAATAAGCATAGTTCTATATCTGGACTGCTTGATGTAATTAGCCAAGGTTTGGAAGGCGTTCAAATTAAGCTGAAAACATGTTTTTTTAGTTTTAATATTTTTCCTCTTTAATTTCATTTTTTATTTCTTATTTTTCTATCTAATTTGGGTTTTTTCTTCTTTTTTAATTAAGGTTGGTTATGGACGTATTTAAATTGATGTATTTTTTTTTAGAGGAGTATTTTTGGCAGAATAATATTATGAAATAATAATATGTCTAGGGATCTTGTTATTGAACCTTTTCCGGAATTTTTGTCTTTTTTTTTCTTTGATTCCTAATCTAATTAGGCTCGGCTGCATCAGTACCCGGTGTCATGTGGGGCATGAAACAATTCTTCACGCTCTTCGTGATTATTGGAAAGCCAGAGAAGTTTGGAGCACGTTCCATGTTTCCTCTGCTATTTCAAATTTCTGCGCAGCCTCATGGTGCTCTCATTGCTGATATCAATCTGCTCCTTGACCATGCTTGGCATTGCTCTCTTATACACACATTACGCCATGCATGGAAACGTCAGAGCAAACTTCATGGCAAAATTGGGAGTAAAATATTCAAGCTCTTCTTCTGTACTGTGTTCCTCTCCTTCTCATAGCCTTAGTAACTTGCTAATGGATGATTTTTCTGGTGGTGGCAGTGGCAGGCCTTGGTGGCTGCGTTATCATCTTTTCCAAAAAGTCACACCATTACTCCAATTTATAATTATTTTACAGATAGTACACCTAAATTTAGAAAAATGATCCAACATTTAAATCACAAATTATTAGTAAATAAAATATATCAAGTACAAGAACAATCAAACATAAAGCATCCTAATGTGCTCACATGCTGAAACCTTAAAGATTTTGATTTTAACCAAAAAAAATTGAAAGAACAACGATATAAATGACTAATTCAAACACGGTAAGAAACTGATCTTAGACCCAAATAAAATTTGGAAGAGGAATTAGGACCCTTCCTACAAGGGCAGGTGGTGATGTTTAGGCGTGCTATAAGGGGAATAAGGTGCGCTAGTTACAAAAGAAGGAAGATCTTGGCTCATGCTAACACCAGCTGCCTTATGTGGGGTTCTTGGGGTCCTTGGAGTCAGTGGGCTTCTTGATCTTGAGGTCATGGTGCTATGACCAAATGCTCTTTCTCCTGCCTTTCTTGGCCCCTTCTCAGCCCACTTGAGCTCTGCCTGCTTAACAGCACTAGGATACCCTGAACAGCACCCTACTATTCCTGCTCTATTTATGTACCTATATAAATAACATTACGCAAATCCACAGCAAGCAGACGAAATGTTAGAATGTGATACAGTGGTACTCTTGCTCCATCCCAGTCTCATCTTTGTCAAAAACAATAACAAAATCGAAACACACGCATAAAATATTGAAAAAAAAAGGCTGAAGCCGTCCATCAACGATAGAATTTTGACACGCAAATTAACATATCGTGCAAGATGTCATGTTCTTGTGCCTTGGTTGATTAAGTTTAATTTATTAATTAGGACGGCAGGAGTAATTCCTCTCCTAATGTGTTGTTGTCATTGGCAGATTGAGCTTGACTATTTGTTCTTATTGTGACCTACTATAAAATATCCAGGTTCAAATGCTTAATCATTTTCAGAATCTTCTTAAATTAATACTCTTGATTTACTACTTCATAAACAATTATATATGATGAAGACTAGTTACTCCCATTCTGCTTGTTCAAGAAAATGATTGTTTCTATTTTCTGATGAATGATAGAGAATTGTTTTAATTAGAAAAAAGAAATGCAGAAAGAGAAATTGTCAGGGTCATAATAGCATCATGACTGAGCTCTAAGCATGGACAATCAAATAAATTATGATTAAGGATAAAAAAGAAATTGTAACTTAGTCCAAATTAATTCATGGATTGGAGAAAGTTCGATTCTTTTCAATGCAAGTTAAAGATTTGGTGTGTGTTTATTAACGTGGAGGTCAGCACCATGCATATGGTTGTATTAATAAAGACACAACCTTTAATTAATGACAGATAAATCTAATGAAAGAAATGTTGATAAATAAAATTCTTAATTAAGATAAGTTTGAAGGAAATATGCTTAGAAATTGTTACCTTTGGCTGAACCTTCTTCCTAAACACCCGATGCATTTTCTTCCTTCTGTCATCTCTCCCATTCCTACGCTCACACAATTCCTGCAAAAAACCCTTCCACAAACCTGTACACAACATTATAATCTCATATAGCCATTAGCTATTGCAAAAAATATGAATCTACAATACACTTACATGTATATCCACTAACGGGGTCCAATTATATCAAGATTTTACTTGACTTTGCTCATAAGAGCTTATATCAAATCCCATAAACCGATCTAAAATGAAATGATAATAATAATAATAGTAGTAATAATAATAAAAATAAAGATAGATAATGGAACTCAAAACAAATCTAGTTTATAAAAAATATTTGATATAATTAAAAGCAAATTTAGTTGAAACATTATTTAAAGAAATCGGATTCAAGCACTATTGAAAGCATTTCTCTTCATCTAATTAATTTGGGGATTAATTAAAAGAAAAAACAAAGATAGTTTTAGTACTCACCAAGCAACGATGTCGAAAAATATAGATGTAAGTAGAGCAAACGGTGCAAATATTGGAGTGAGGGATTCCAGGGCGACGAGGTCTCCCACTTCTTTCTTGGTACACAGAATTCATGGTCATAACACTCACATCATCATCATCATCATCATTTGCCCTGCTTTTCTCCATTGCAAACCTTGATTTTGATGGACTTTTCGTGCCTATATTTGCATGACCATGATGGCTTTGATCATGATATTGACCTCCACTGCCATATGGACGATGAGCCCCATCATGCAGGTAATGTTTATGAGATTTATCAAATGGGTGCCCTTCAGCAACATGATCAAGGTGATGAGATTGGTGATGGTTTTTGGAGGCCTGTAAACCCTTGTTGAAGTCAAGGCTAGGCAACTTGGTTAGAGGAGCAGCTTGTTTAGGGGTTTGGCCGACTTCTTGGATTGATTCCAAACTGGTAGTTGTGGTGTTGATCTTCTCTGATGTAGCGCGACTTGTGTGTTGTTTTACATGTATTGCTAGGTCCTCAAAAGTGAGGTTGACTGAATCATCTGGGATTCCTAAATACAATTCTTCAAGCTCCATTCTTGCCATTGCCAAAGTTTTCAAGTCCCCCATGTATTTTTACCTAGCAAGTTAACGTAGTTTCCTCGGAGAGAAAATGTGAGAGAGGTATGGGAATTGGTTGGAAGGGAGGTGAAGAGTTTACTAGGTTAATAGTGTTGATGATTTTATATATATAAAGGCCAACATCTGGCTAGGCCGGACAACATAGCTTATGCATAAGATTCTGATATCAAAAGTAAACAAAAGTAAATTACGAAATTGTAGCACATCTCTTCTTTATTATTTTTTTCGTTGAGATTAATGCCCTTCTTCTGTCTCTTGATGTTCAATTTCACAGGAAATTAATTTTATTTGGTCACGGGTAGTGAACAAGTTAGTTAAACTCATGACATTAGTCCTAATTGTGATCATGCATGATAATATTTGACCAAATGGTGAATTGTAAGGTGTAAGCTTGAGACGGCTACCTAGTGTATAATGACAAATTCAGTATTTCAATAGGAAAACTTAATTTTCAAGAACAACCAGGGAGAGTTTGATTGGTTTGATTTAGTGATAAGTTTTTTTTTTTACATTTCCCAAATGTATATGATCATATGCACAATCCCAATAGAGGCTCACTGTCATTATGTTGTTGTAATTATCAAGCGGCGTCGGCTGTTTGATTTGGGCGAGAAGAATGATGAGGTTCTATATTGGTTGGTTAGTGTATGTTCTGTGTTTAATTTTCAAAGGCCATCGATCACACTGTGTTTGACAAGCTTGGAGCCAAGAAGTTAATATCTTTTTGGTTCAATACTCTTTGTATTGCGTTTAGATAGTGTTTCAAAATAAAAGGGCACATATAAACATGTTTAATTTGACAGTTTTTATAATAATTTAAAAATAAACCTTTATCAATTTAATTAAAATAAAAAGGATAAAAAAACACGTCTTTTTTTAGATATCTCTATTATTTTTCCATCTTTTTTGTTTCTTGAAAATAATAAAATTAATTCCAACTACTCGTAAGAGACTCTTCTTTTTGCATATACTTTAGAAATTAGGTTTGAGTGATCTCTTCTTTTGTTAAACACCCCCCCCCCCCCACAAAAAAAAAAAAACCATTCCTTTGAAATCATAACATATAATTAATTAATCCATTAGGAATTTGTGTTTTTAAAAAATTAAGGAGTATATTGAGCAGAATAAATTAGGATACAAATCTGGACTGCCATTTTATTATATAAAGGGTGCATTAAATCAATGTCATCATCAAATTTTAGCAAGATAGATATCATGTAAGGTATACGTACCAATTGTATAGCAAGCAAGTAGCTGTTTTCAGTGAAGTATATTCAAGAGTTTCAATGATTCACATCCCCCCTTCACGTCTAGGCCAAAACTTTTTTGAATATTTTGATAAACGATAAAAAAAAAAAATTATAAATGGTAACAAGTACTGGTGTTTTATTCGAAAATATTTACCATTGCTCTTTCCGGAAAGCATGAATTTATCTCATAAAATAGCCAAATTGCTAATTAACAGCTTGTGTTCGATGAATACTATCATCCAAATTCTTCTCCTCATAGTTATATTAACTGCCTAGTTATAAACTAAAACATTCCAAGTAAGTAGCGGCAAGCATGCATTGGAATCTATGAATAATTACTATAATTAATGAACTTTCTGTAACTAATTAAGGACTGGAGATCATGATGAGAGGATGAAAGAAGACAAATACGATGCCGGACTAATTAATTACTACTGGCATGATTTTGTGGTGTGGTCAATATTTTTGTTTCACTTGGGATGGTAGAATCAATGTTGGCTTGACTAATTAATTAATGCATGGTGATTAAGATAAACCCTGTTATATATATATAACCGGCATTGTTCTAAATTCTTCAAGACTAGTTGATCTACAACCCGCCAACCAGCAGATATCAGGTCGCAAAACTAATGAACTCTTGAAGAATTTAAAACATCCCATATTTATACACAAAGAGGTTACTTCTTCGGCTACCCCGATGGTGATTTTTTTTAATGTAAAATAATATTATATAAGTGAAATTTTTTAGATCACCATTAAACTGGTATAACGAATTGATTAGTACTTAAGAATATATTTTTATCAAGACGGTATAACGAATTGATTAGTACTTAAAAATATATTTTTATCAAGATTTTATATTATCATTTTGTACTTGAAGTATCAATAACTCCTTAATTAAAACATGTTTTCTAATAACATATCTAATAACCTAGGATAACTTTAATTTGTGGTAAATATTCATTTTAAATGCAGACCTATCACATAAATGAAAGGATTGATTAATAAGTTTAAGAACTGAAATTGAAAGGACAAAGAGATGGTCAAACTTTTTTTTTAAAAAAAAATACTGGTGCAGCCTAAACCGGAACATTGTTCAATAATTAAGTCATATCTAGAGTTGTAGATCTTGGATTTAAGTCCATTTTATATGGATGAAAATGTAATATATATGCCTACAACTTTCAT